ATCTCACATACTGGAAAAGACAGAAAATATGTTGTGGGATTATCTACAAAGGCCGTTTTGGGGAAGTCCTCATCGACACACATCTATTCAAGCCTTGCTAGGCAATAAGCAAGCAGCTGCTGAGAAGCCGGAGGAGCAGGGCCCAGAGCCTCTGCCCATCTCCACTCAGGAGTGGTGACTGAGGTTTTTATGTAGAAGGGGAACAAAAATGATCTAAGTTTTGAAAAGACCACAAAGCAACAAGCTGACCCTCCTATTTTTAACTTGGATACCTGCTATTCTGCCAAAAGACAACTTCTAGAATAGTTTCGAATGGGTTATTTTCCCCCCAGTTCCACAACCTCTGAAGCCAGTGTCTAGCTTACTAAAAAAAGAATTGTATATAATATTTAAGATGCTGAGTATTTCATAGGAAAGCTGAATGCTGCTGTAAAGTGCTCTTTAAGTCGTCTTCTTTCTTTTTTAAATCTCCTTCTAATGAATGAAACTAAGGGGAATTTCAGGGGACAGTGATGGGATTTGTTGTATGATAAACAGTATGTAGTTTTAGTCTTTCTATATTGAGAAGCAGTGGTTGGGGCATATTTTAAGATGGCAGGCTACACTTGTTTTCCCTCATGATAATAAAGTTGTCATAACTCAGCAACACGGACTTGCTCCTAGAGGTAATTGTTAAGAGTTTTGAAATATTAAGGTCTTGCCAAGGTTCTGATGATTCAAACCTGTACTACTGATTATTAAGCAGGACAGACTGAGCTGTTAGAAATACCTTGAAGGAAAAAGTAATTTCTAAATATACAGAGAGGTCAACTTGACTGTATATTTTGCATCCTGTGCCACCTCCCTTCATATTAATATTTGATATGGATTTTAATTTATGTGAAATTTCTAAAGCAGAATGAAAGCTCTTTTTGGGGGAATGGCAAATCTTTGGGATAGGTGAGACCCGAGGTGAACAGTACCAAAGCATTACCCCACGGTAGACAGCACATTTGATTAAAAATGTTAAACTGTCTGAGAAATAAAATGTTCAAGTCTTCAAGATGGCACAGCTTTTGGGGGTGTATTTTCTTAGAGGGCTTGCCGAGTATGTAAATAATTGACTTTGTTTGTGTTACATGACTGTTGATGACTTCATTGAAAATCTGCAAAATTCAGTTTTAGCTCTGGATTACCTCAGTTGACCTTTGTGAAGGTTTTATCTGTGTAGAGTGGATGTTTGACTTGTTTTTAACCTAGTAGTGTTTTTATTGTTTTTCACTCTATATTTAAAGTAAAATTTACTAAAAGAAAAGAGGTGTGTGTTAAAGCTAAGTGGGTTGGTTTTGGTTTGGCTTCTGTTAGTCAGGCTTTTTGAACGTTGAAATATCCTGAACTTGGAGTTCTTCAATTCTAAAATTCTCATTAAAAGCCTCTCACTTGAACCCAAACCAAAGTACTCTTCTTGCCTCTTTTCTAAAAGTTCAGGAGAAAAATATCACCAGTTCAGACTTATTTTCATAATGAGGGAGGAGCATTCGCCTGCCTTATAATGACATGACTCAGTGCTTATTTTTTAAACTGGATTTTAAAAATTGGATAGTGTAACAATAAGGAGTGAGCCACTTTTTATGGACACCCTATAGTTTTATAGTTCTTACTCTAAACATTTTATATTTCTTCCTTTTGGAAAAAAAACCTATATGCCATAAGCCACCATATGTGTAGACTACACAGCTGGTTGGGTCGGCTCTCTCACAGCCTTTGAGGTGAATTACAGGAGTCCAGCCATTATCATCCTCCTGAGTTATTTTGAAATGTTTTTTTTTTTTTTGGTACATTTTGGCTGCAGTATTGGTGGTAGAATATACTATAATATGGATCATCTCTACTTCTGTATTTATTTATTTATTACTAGACCTCAACCACAGTCTTCTTTTTTCCCCTTCCACCTCTCTTTGCCTGTAGGATGTACTGTATGTAGTCATGCACTTTGTATTAATATATTAGAAATCTACAGATCTGTTTTGTACTTTTTATACTGTTGGATATTTATAATCAAAACTTTTACTAGGGTATTGAATAAATTTAGTCTTATTAGAAAATAAAAAAAATTTTAAAAAAGTCCAGAAACAAGTGATGCTGGCGTGGATGCAGAGAGGAAAGAACACTTCTACACTGTTGGTGGGACTGCAAATTAGTACAACCTCTATGGAAAACAGTATGGCAATTCCTCAAAGAACTAGAAGTACACCTACCATTTGATCCACTGTTGGGTATTTACCCAAAGGAAAAAAAGACTTTTCATCACACAGCTACCTGCACTCGAATGTTTATTGCAGCACAATTCACAATTGCAAAGATATGGAATCAACCCATGATATCATGAGTGGATTAATAAAACTATGAATGGGATACTATTAGGAATGAATGGAAACTATTAATGGAATACTACATGGAATACTACTCAACCATAAAAAAAATGAATTAATACCTTTTGAAACAATCTGGATGAAAACTGGAGACCATTCTCCTAAGAGAAGTATCTCAAGAATGGAAAAACAAACACCACATGTACTATTAAATTGGAACTGATGAGCACATGTATGCAGACGAAAGTAAAACTCAGTGGACATTAACCAGAGAGAAGGGAGAAGAGGAGGACAAAAACCTACCTAATGGGTATTGTTAACACTATTTGGGTGACGAGCACACCTTTAGCCAGGACTCAAGCATTACAAAAGTGTTCCATGTAACCCAAAACATTTGTACCCCCTTAATATTTTCAAATTAAAAGAAAAAAACACTAGAAAGTGAATATGAAAATTACAGGGGAAAAAAGGGAGTCATCATTAACAAACATTTATGTCTGTATCAATAAAAATTCATTTCTCTATGTATCCATTCAAAAAAAATTTAAGGAGCACTTGTGTTAAAGAGACTGTATTATATTAGGTGCTGTTGAAAGAAAAATCCAAAGTGGAATAGAATAGTTCCTATCTTTGAGCAGTTTTTTACTACTTTCCAGTTGAGTGACTATGGGCAAATTACTCAGTCTCCTGATGCTTCAGTTGCTTCACTTGTGAAATGCAGATAACATTAAGTAGGCTCAGGGTTGTTGTGAAGATTAAAGTAAGACATACAAACAGCTTAGAACAATGTCTAATACGTAGTAGGTACCATAAAAGCATTAATTATTAAGAGGAGGTAAGGCAACTTCCAAATAAATAGTAGCATGCTTAGTAAAGAAGGAAAAAAAAAGCCGGGCATAGGGGCTCACACCTGTAATCCTAGCCCTCTGGAGGCCAATGAGGGAGGATCATTTGAGGTCAGCAGTTCGAGACCACCCTGAGTAAGCGCAAGACTCATATTGCCCATTACTGATCACCACCTCTATGTTAATCATGTTTGTTTAATCTTCAGCTCAATCCTACAGGGATTCTTTCCATTTGATAGTGCAGGAGAACTGTTACCAGGCTATTGTGAAACTTGATAATACACACCTAATAAGTGACCTAATTATCAAACCTTGAACACATCAGAACTCACGCACTTTCTAAAATATCATGCAGGAAACCTGGATTCTAGTTCTGTATCTGCCACCTGTTAGCAATTGCAACCCCAGCCCCTTTTACTTCCTAATAGACTGTTTCTATTTGATAAAATATTTACGATAGACAGGCTCCTCCTGTTTGCTTCACAGGTTAGGGCACTGTGAAGATCAAAAGAAAAAAAAAAAACCCTATGAATTATAAAATTCCATAAAGATTTTTTTTCACTTGCCTGACTAATCTCACTTCCTACACCTCTAATGTGCTTCAACATTCTGATTCCAAATGCCAATTTTCAGGTACCCAATCCTAAAAAAACGATCTAAACTTTCCTATGAGGGTTCAAACATACTTCAATAAACTCAAGTCACATGAAGTGGCCATCACTCTGGGTACTGATCTGACACAGTCAAGGTGACCACTGATACGAGGTCTAATAATGATTCCGTAACCACTAACCAAAATATTGAGAAAATATACATCAAAATATTTCTCAGCATGTTATATTAACATGGCTGCCTGTGCTTCATTATGTTTATAAAAACATCACTTATACATACAAAACTTTTAAACTTTTCCAAAGTTCTTTTGTGCTCCTATTCCATTTGATCATCTAAGCAGTTGTGTCAGGTAGGCAAGGTAGGTTTATGCTTGTCTGAAGAAGAGAAAACTTATTTATGTTCAAAATCATTGAGGCCTAACTTATATTTCAGGTCACCTATTCTGGTGTCTGTACTCCATTATGCTACATAAATTTTACATTTGAAATTACTTAATAGGACTTATGATTCTACTTGTTAATGAGTAACACATTTACATTTGAAAATTTTCCTAATAAAAATTATTTAGCTCCATTTTGTCACCAGAAAGCCTTCACAAACCATAAAAAATCTCACATTCATATAAGTAGATGCGGCAATAGCTATCACTTTGCAGAAACTTAACTGTACTAACACTACATAGTACCTAGGAATATACACTTGTTGATAAAGTATCCTGAGCCCACTTCCCTAATTTTAACAGAAGACACTGTTCTTAGGACTGTGATCAAACTACTTTGGACTTTAAGTACTACTAATAATATATCAACCATTAATAATATTATTAATGGCTCAGGAACTAAGTAAATTACAGCAATTTAAAATGATTAATATTTTAAAAACACAGGTTTTGAAGGGTCACCTTACAAATGTCAGTAAATGTTGCCTAAGCTATCAAAATACAGATGAGATTAAGGTTCAATGTGATGTAAAAGAAGTACCTTGTAAAACAGAATATTTAATTGACGTGGTTTAAGAAAAGTACTGAATTGGGAATCAAATTCTAGCCCCAGATTATTTAACCTGAGCCTCAGTTAACATTAAAAAAGTTTCACAATATAGAATTTTACTATCCCAAGGTTCTGGAAAATCATGACAAGAAAATTAATGAATAGAGATGAAAGATTAAGATTTCTGAACCAAACCAAGATTAGATCAAAACATTTATTTTTTGTGTTACAAAAACAAAAATAAAGCCAAGCAGATAATGAAATAAACATATTTTTAGGTCCCAGCCTGGGTTCTCTGTCCTAAAATTTAATAAACAGTTCATGTGTAGGTTACTTCGACACTTCTTCTGAATGCTACGAAGTCTCCATCTTATAACCATGTTTCTCTAGTTCAGCTCTATAATAAAACACAAAGAATAACATCACCAGGCATTCTTCAAAATAAACAGACTTTTTTTCTTTTAGAATACAATAAATGAGCTAAGCCTGAGGCAACAGTTTAAAATATTACTGAATAGCTTTATTTTAGTCCCTAAAAAGAAATCTATGTAAGAGAAAATTAGATGAGTCAATACAATACTAGTAAAATTTTGCTTTTTCCATTAGTTATATTTTATATTAATTTTGTTATAAATGTATTTATGAAAGAAATGTGAGAGATTTACTGTTATCCTCCAAATATTTTTCAAATACCACACAAACATTCTGTTCCTAATAAACATAAATTTTGAAACATTAACCTTAGGCTAAGACATTGCTATCAAACCTTTAAGGATTTTATAATCATCATAACAGGTATTACTGTCATATACACAGAACAAACAGATTGCTTTCCATATTAACATATCTATTGCTCTAAACAAGAAAACAATCAAATTTAAAGGTGTGAAAAATTTTCTGCATTAACTATATAGGCAAAATAAATATAAGTCATAGAATATTAAAGAAGACTTTACTTTCCTAATTTTAAATGTGGATGAAAATTTTAAAAGTTTGTATTGGTATACATATACACATATAAAAGACACTTTTTTATCATCTGAAATAATTTATCCAACCTGAAGTTTCACATTTTGAGAATGTCAATTGGAATTGTTGATTTGCCTTATATAAGACATTTGCACAAAAATGTTTAGCCCTGTAATCAACTCCAACTGTATTTAAATTACCATCAACTCCAATGGTATTTAAATTACCATTCCAAATATCAGCAGCAACTGTGAACAGTTACAATTCAGATTTTATAAAAGTTCATGATAAAATTATAGAGGGCCAATTTGTGATAAAACATTGAATAAATGTAAAGTATGATTACTATCCTCTATCTCATTACAACCAATAAGATAAAAAGACATTTTTTCTCAAGTTTTAAATATAATGTGGCTTAGACACCTATCACACTATCCAATGCAAATACAATGCAAAAAACACATAAGAATGACGTATAATATTTATTAATTTCCTCAAACTCCTTTGCTTTCCTAAATTTTTTACAATTATCTACAGTACAAATACTGACCTATTTCCATGAATTATATTGAAGACAGAATATTATTCAAATAAATCATCTTTGCCTTCTGCTAGGGTACAGTATGGGCTGGTGGTATAAGCAACAGATTGGCACTCAAGAGCCCAGTGCAAGTCTCTGACTCTGGCCCTTCCTTTACTAACTAAATTGCTTCTTTGGGTTCCTCCTCCTGCACCCCTCATGAAACTGAAGATTATAATATTTGTCTTTCATGTATAACAATTTATGTCCTTTGTTTTGAGGGCTAAATGAGAGAAAATTATACAAATAGAATGTAGCATACATTAACGTAAGAACCAAGACTAAAAGGGAAAAGCTATAAGCTTCTATTTCCACTGATCACAGACAACTCTTCAAATGTTTCCTACAAAAACTCTTGTTACCAATCTTTAGGGAATGTGGTAATTATCTTTGGATTTTATCTCATGCTAAGAATTTTGTATCTTTCCTATTTAATATGGAAATAATTTTAAAACTTTCCTAAACATTAGTATTCTGCTTCCTTTTACAAAGTAATTGTAGATCATTTATCTTCTCCTTTTTAACAACAAAAACCCAAAGTTCGGCCAGGTGCAGTGGCTCATGCCTATAATCCTAGCTCTCTGGGAGGCTGAGGCGGGAGGATAGCTCGAAGTCAGGAGTTCGAAACCAGCCTGAGCAAGATTGAGACCCCATTTCTACTATAAATAGAAAGAAATTAATTCGCTAACTAATATATAGAGAAAAAATTAGCCAGGCATGGTGGCGCATGCTTGTAGTTCCAGCTATTTGAGCCCAGGAGTTTGAGGTTGCTGTGAGCTAGGCTGACGCCATGGCACTCACTCTAGCCTGGGCAACAAAGTGTGACTCTGTCTCAAAAAAAAACAAAAAAAAAACAAAAAACAAAAAAACCCTCAAAGTTCGATCTAAGATTTAAGTAATAAGTATACCAAATTTGTCCTTCAGGTTTGTGTCTATTTGCCTTCCTAATGAAAGATAGTCACCAATTACATTTATAATTTGTTTATAAACACAAAGGAGATGATAAAATGCTTAACAGCTAAATTCTTAGAAGAGATGAAAAGGGCTTTGCTAGAATTGAAGTATAAGAAACCAAAAGAAAAAATATTGAAGCCACTAAGTATAAAACACAGAACAAGAACACTAATATGTTGAGGCTGCTGAATAGAAAAATCAAATAAAGACAAGAAAGAGGGAAGAAATCCAGCACAACTGGAATAAAATCACAGAACACACATAATGAATGTACACTATTTGAAACAAAAGCAGTAGCATCCTTTTTGCAATAGAACAAGCAAAAAGACTAACAAGGCCATTACCAAGTTTGAGAATTCCACTTAACTATCCAAGAAACTACTCAGTTTTATGACTGAGACTATAACTGATATGATAAATCAGGAGCTATACTGTCTGCTTGGAGTTTTTATATAAGATGTGATACAGCATTGTGAAAATCATAACACTACCTATTTATCCTGATATGTAGAGAAACAAATTATATCAGAAGCAGCAAAACTAGAATGACTGAGTTACCTGGAAACACAAAGTGGCCTCATTCATTCTACTTATATTTGTTAAACCTAATTACAATGAAAGAGAGAGAGGAACAGGGAAAGTGGGCAGCCTGCTATATGGACAGTTTTTATTTATTAATATACACTTACCATGGTCTAAGCACTTAACACATATTAAACTCATCTAACCTTTATAATAACCCTAGGAGTAAAATACTAATTATCACCTGCAAAGTTAGATAGGATTAGGATCCAACAATGTCAGAAAACAATAAAACACGTTCCTTAGCATGGTTTATAATAGCACAGTAAGGGCCTCCATGCATTTTATAAAAAGACTAGTAAGAACATTTTTGCAGAAGACTTGTTAATTAAGACAATTGTTTTTAAAGGAACGACTGTCTGAGGCTGTGTTATTCAATGATAGTCATATGTGGATATTTAAATGAAATAAAAATTCAGTCTCCCAGCTGCACTAGCCACATTTCATGAGCTCAATAGCCACATGTGACTATGGCTTTTGTATTGCACAGTGCAACTTATAGAACATCTCCATCACTACAGCACTGCATTCAGTTCTATTTGAGAGCACTGGCGATGCATCAACAACTTTAGTGGGAAAAAAACTCATTACTCAAATCAGAAAATAAAAAGAAAACCTTTATTCACTAATGAAGGTATCAAGATTTAAGCCATAGAAATCCACAAACCTAAAGGCAGAAACACAGAGAACATAAGAACACTGTGAATGTGTTTTAGAAAAACAATAAGCCACAAACAATATATAGATACTATACTATTTCTAAACCAGTAAAAAGGCAGGATGTAGTAGTGATAAGAAATCTAACTAAGAATACATTTACTACTGAAAGTCTGTTGATAAAAATCAATAATATCTTAGTTAATTTTTAAGAGAAAATTGCTAATGAAAGACACAAAATAAATAAAAACTTTGGAGAAATCTGATTCTTGAATGTCAAAGAAGAAAACTTATTTAGCCTCAACTTTAAAAATGTCAAGATAGCAGGAAAAAAAGAACCCTGATATATTATTAAGAACATGAAGTAGAGATCAACAGCATTGTAGGCCAAAAATAAATATTCCAACAGCATAATATAATTCCAATGAGGAAGAAAAGGGAATGCATATTTTTTAAAAGGTAGCAGGGTGTTCTGATGTGGCTCAGTTTTTAAAGGATATAAACCTGGGGAAAAGAATCCTTATTCAATAAATGGTGCTGGGAAAACTGGATAGCCACATGTAGAATACTGAAACAAGAGCCACACCTTTCACCTCTCACAAAAATCAACTCACACTGGGTAACAGACTTGAACCTTAGGTGTGAAACTATTAGAATTCTAGACGAAAATGTTGGAAATACTCTTCTAGACATTGGCCTAGGCAAAGAATTTATGAAGAAGACCCCAAAGGCAATCACAACAGCAACACAAATAAACAAATGGGACCTAATGAAATTAAAAAGCGTCTGCACAGCCAAAGAAACTGTCAAGAGAGCAAACAGACAACCCACAGAATGGGAGAAAATTTTTGCAAGCTACATATCCAATAAAGGGCTGATAACTAGAATCTATTTAGAACTCAGGAAAATCAGCAAGAAAAAAATCAAACAACCCTATCGAAAAATGGGCAAAGGACATGAACAGAAAATTCTCAAAAGAAGACAGAATAATGGCCAACAAACATATGAAAAAATGTTCAACATCTCTAATCATCAGAGAAATGCAAATCAAAACCACAATGAGATATCACTTAACGCCAGTGAGAATGGCCTTTATCAAAAAGTCCCAAAACAACAAATGCTGGTGTGGATGCGGAGAGAGAGGAACACTCCTACACTGCTGGTGGGACTGCAAACTAGTTGAATCTCTGTGGAAAGCAACATGGAGATACCTCAAAGTGATACAAGTAGATCTACCATTTGATCCAGCAATTCCACTACTGGGCATCTACCCAAAAGATCAAAAGTCACTTTATGAAAAAGATACCTGCACTCGAATGTTTATAGCAGCATAGTTCACAATTGCAAAGCTAGGGAACAACCCAAGTGCCCATCAATTCATGAGTGGATTAATAAAATGTGGTATATGTATACCATGGAATACTACTCAGCTTTAAGAAACAATGGTGACATAGCACCTCTTGTATATTCCTGGATACAGCTGGAACCCATTCTACTAAGTGAAGTATCTCAAGAATGGAAAAACCAGCACCACATGTACTCACCAGCAAATTGGTATTAACGGATCAACACCTAAGTGGACATATAGGAGTAACATTTATAGGGTGTCAGGAGGGTGGAAGGGGAGAGGAGGGGATAGGTGTATATAACCACAACGAGTAAGATGTGCAATGTTTGGGGGATGGACATGCTTGAAGCTCTTACTCGAGGGAGGAGGGGGGCATGGGCAATATAAGTAACCTTAACTCTTGTACCCCCATAATACGCTAAAATAAAAAAATTAAAAATAAACCAAGGTAAATGCAAAAAACAAGGTGCACAAACTTGTACAGATAGAATTTGATCCTAGATGGAGATCTGTAAAAAGAAAAAAGGGCTTTTGAAAACCATATATTGATCAAGAAGAATAAGAAAAAACAGTTCCAAGAGCTTGGAATAGATGTAATATTAACAGATTTTAGAGAAAAAGGATTACTGTTCTTATCTTGTCCATAAAAACTTTAAAAGGAAAAACATCATTAAGACAAAACTGAAACTAAGATAGGTGAGATACTTCTAAACTGCGTTAAAGCAGTTTAAAGTCTCATGGCACTGAACAATTACATCTCAGGGTACTGGGAAAACCAAAAGATATAGTAAAAAATGAAAGTCAGCAATCTTTGAGAAATGGAAATGGAAAATCATAAAAATATCAGAATAACAATGAAAAATAAATTGTACTATTTCTAAAAAGTAGAGAAAGTAGATGGGTAAAATCATTATTAGTCTTCAGCAAAATGCTAAAGTCTTTAGAATGTAGGAGTTTTTGAGCCCATTTTAAAAATATACTGTGTAGAAAAAAATGTAAAGGACATTGGAAACTAAGAAGGGCGGCTGGGGGGAGATAAAAACTTACTTACTGGGTACAGTGAACACTGTGCTGGTGACAGGCACACTGAAAAGCCCTGACTTTAGCATTATACAGAGTATCCACGTAACAAAAACATTTGTACCCTCTAGTATTTTGAAATAATAAAAAAATGCAGTGTAGAAACAGGTGCTACTATATCACTGTTAAAAATAAATTTTTAAAATTATAAATTATCGCACTTCCTTTTTGAACAAGCATACTAGGCTAGTAAATTAGAAGAGTGAAATAGACCTTTGATATCTTGATTTCAGCAAAGTAGTTGGTGGTCTGCTTAAATATCCCATGGCCAGGACAGATAAAAATGGGCTAAATAAATCAAAATAAAATCAGCAGGAAAAGAAGTCTCTTCAACAAATGGTGTTGAATAACTAGACATCTACAAGCAAAAGAATGCACTGAATTCCAATTTCACAACATATACAAAAGTTAACTCAAAATGGATTGAAGACCTACGTGTAAGAGCTAAAACTATAAAACCCTTAGAAGAAAAAGCATGGGGATAAATATTCATTACCTTGAATTTGGCAATAAATTCTTAGATATGACACCAAAAGCACAAGTAACAAAAGAAAAAATACATAAATTAATCTTTATCGATATTAAACATTTTTGTACAAAGGACAACGAAGAAAGTGAAAAGACAACCTGATAGAATGTGAGAAAATTTGCAAATCACATATCTGATAAGGGTCTAAGTACCCAGAACAGTAAAGAAATCTTACACCTCTGCAACAAAAAGACAAACAATTCAGTTTAAAAATGGGCAAGGACTTGAACAGACATTTCTCTAAGATGATATACAGATGGTCAACAAGCATGTAAAAAGATCAGTCATTAAGGAAACGCAAATAAAAACCACAGTGAGATACCACTTCACATCCTTCACTTACAGGATGGCTATAATAAAAAACAATGAAAAATAAGTTTTGGTGAGGATGTGGAGAGATTGGAACCTTCATACCATTGCTTTATATTGTACCAATAAATTGCTAGTAATAATGTAAAATTGTTCAGTGACTGCAGAAAAGTTTGGCAGTTTCTCAAAAAGTTAAATGTAGAATTACCATATGACCCAACAATTTTACTTCTAGGTATATACTAAAATGAATTAAAAACAGGTACTCAGACAAGTACATGTACATGTACATACAGCACCATTCACAATAGCCCAAATGTGGAAACAGCTCAAATGTCCATCAGTTGATGACAAATGTCCATGAACTGATGAATGGATAAATAAAATATGGCATATACATATAATTATTGAGCCATAAAAAGGAATGAAGTACTGATACATGCCACAACATGGATGAACCTTGAAAACATAATGCTAAGTCAAAGAAGCTAGAAACACAAGATCACATATTCTATGATTACATTTATATGAAACATCTATAATAGGCAAATTCATAAAAAGAAAAACAGATTAGCAGTTGCCAGGATATAGAGGTAGATGAAATGCAGTGACTGCTTAACAGTGTTTCCTTTTGGGATGATGAAAATATTGGAACTAAATAGAGATGATGGTGGCATAACAGTGGGAATGTACTAGACACCACTGAATTGTATACTTTAAAATAATTAATTTTATGTTATATGAACTTTACTTCAATAAATAAAATTAGGTAGATTTGGACATAAACATGAAAAAGTACATACAACCCCAATATCCATTCCAGTTTGAGAGTCACCAATCTATTGGGTCCCAGCACTCTATGATTCTATTTCCTGCTGAGTTATTTAATATTGGTAGAAAATTAATATTTACAGAATTAATAACCTACAAGAATAAAAAATGATAAATATGCCTTTGTTTAATTACCTCTGAAAGACTAGAAAGAACAAAGTTATATGCAATTACACAAAGTACTCATGTTTACAAACACAGGAGATGAAAGCAATGTGTCTTATTTTGCATAAGTGAAAAACCTATCTTAAAGATTGAGTAACTTTTAAGAGGTCAATTATTTATGTAAATTATATATTTCATGTTTATAATTAACACTAAGCTACAATAAAAATCTGGCTTAAAGCTTACCGTAACTGATTAGAGAAGTCATCCTCTACATTGTCATCATCCCAATTATCCTCCCAGACATGTGCATCTTCATCTTCATCTAAGCCAGCCCAGTCTAAAAATAGAAATAGATGCTATCTAAATATTTCTCATACATTACTTCCACAATTACAAAAACTTTAGCAAGTTTGCTACTGAACACTCTCACAATCCAAAACAGCTAATATGGTATCTATGAGAAATGGCAAGCTTCTTTCTTAAATCTCAAAGTTCATATTGGCTTGTTCTCTTAATTCTTGAATTTGCAGTTCAAATTCAAGAATTTTTTGAACTTTTATTAACAAAATTTAAATATTTTGTATTAACAAAAGTTAATACAAAAAAATTCTACTTGCCATGAAACTTATTATAATTTCGGGAGGATATTTACTTTACTGATTTTTCTTTGAGCTCATTTTTATAAGGTCTATTTCACAATCTTTCAAAACACAGCACCAACAACCCCTAAAGCAAGTTGAGTAGCAAGCAGATAGATACAGCATGGAATTCAAAATTGCTAAACATTAAAAAGGATAATTCATATACAGACATTAAAAAGTAGAACAAATTAAAAACCATCGCTAGTATTTGTCTAATATAATCAATAAATAAGTTAGATTTTTAAAGGAGAGATAAATATAAATATGCATAAAGAGGAATGTTGTAGTTTCTAGTTTCCTGAATTTTCTTATTACGTTTTGGTAGTGGTAGAGGGGAGGTTCAGACTGAGATTCCAGCTTTTATTTAGAGTATTTAGAGTATTTAGAGTAAAATACATATGTTTTACCATTATTCCCCAACCTCAAATCTCAAGCTTTAATATACCATTTGGGTTGAGCCTAGAAAAAGAAATCATCAAATTCAGTATCTGTTTTATGGATATTTTAAGGAGTCTTTATAAAGATATCTAATGGTATTTAATGTTCCCCAAAATAATTTGAATAAACCAGATACTATGTTCTAAAGAGGGTGACAGAATTCAAGACACAATGAACTGTTTTCAGGTTCTAAGATAACAAGCCTTTAGTTAGCCTGAATCATTTCCAACTAACCAGCTTCCTAAACTGTTAAGTAGTTTCCATCTGCACTGGTCCCTAAAAAGGAAATGATCATGTGTCAAAAGGTTGAAGCTAGAAATATAAAAAAAGAATGTTTGATGCTTTCCTGCTAAACTTCTAAGTCTTTGAAAAATACTATAAAGCCTTAATTGTCTTTTAAAGCAATTGTCTTTTCAGGAACAGTAAAATTATAGGCCCCCAGAAACTTTTTATCTAATTATGATTTGATTCAAAATGTTGATTTCAATAGTTTTTACTTGATGTCATTCAAATGTCTTCAAGCTGTCTTTACTTCTTTTAACTTAGAAAAGAAAAAAAAAAAAACTTGTTAATTTGTACCCAAATGCCTCAGAGAATCACCAACAAGAAATACAACAGAGTCAAATAACTTGTTTTGTGGGAATGCCAATCCTAAATTAGAAAAAGCCAAGATTCTTAAGGCAATACAAGAGCTTTAATGGTATCATTTTTTTTTTAAGAGTGGTACAATCTTTAGTTTATCAAGTTGAACTCTGATGATCATTTAGAATACGGATAAAGCAACTCCCCCTCCTTTAACAACCATCTCAGGCTATTTTAATGGCAGGGAAAGAGAAGGAATAAGGTAGAAATAAAGTTCCAAGAAAAAGAAATTGGTCCAGGGATGGGTGGACAATATTGTGAGCAAGATGTCAGGTAGAACACACACAAAAGGATTCATGACAATACTCTATACTTCTTTGGTATTACTACGCAGTAATTCAAAATTATGACACTACGGAGTATGCAAAAATAGAAAAGCTGGTCAAATTCTTTATTAATCATTTTATAAATCTGAATATACTCTTTAATACTATATCCTAGGAGTAAGATGTATTAAAATCTATATATCCCATACCATCCTTCCCATTATCATAGATGAGGAAGCTGAGGAAAAAAACCTTTTGAATCACAAACATTTAAAGTTAGTTAATAAGAGCACTAATAAAAAAAATTAGTGTCCACAATGACAAACCAGAATTTAAAATATTTTAGATGAAAATTTTAAATATTTTGTTTACCCACCAGGCTCAGTGGCTCATGCCTGTAACCCCAGCATTTGGGAGGCCGAGGCAGGAGTATCACTTGAACCCAGGAGTTTGAGATTACAGTGACCTATGATCCCACCACTGTATTCCAATATCACCAAATAGCATTTCCAGCACTTATAAATCCTCTATACTGTACATATGTTAGAATATATGTAAGTTACAACACATGTAAACTCAACTAAATGAATGTATAACAAAGCTGTGACTGTTGTCATCTCTGGGTTTAGCTGACATCTCTTGCAATACATCTCTGAATTGTGTTTTAATTTTCAATTATAACATGACACTGAAAACCATGCAATTTTATTTGATCACTCATTTTTAAAGCCATAAGCCCAGAAATAACTTTTGTAAAAAGGACAAAATAAAACCAAACAAGGATACCTAATTCACGTTTATTGCCATCTTCCAATATACTGGATGACCTTATAAAGTACACTTTACCTTTAAGACTAAATGCATTGCCAGAATTATGATTAATCATTTAAATAACCACAGCTGTGTTTATTTCAATGTGTAGGCTTCCAGATGTGTACTGGTAAAAAAAAAAAAACATTTTAAAAAGTCGGAATTGGAAATAACCAATAACAGATGCCTAATACATAAGTTTCTAGCAATTCTAAATTATTTAAGACTCTGTCCCAAATTTGGCTTTCTTCACATTTGCCAGTTGAGAATTGCATCTGTGATTAGCTTTAAATGTCAAAAATCTGAGCTATCAAAGATCCCACATATTTCATCTAAGTATCACCTTGACATATAAGTGTGAAAAGGGTTTTCTCTCAACTTGAAAAGTGTTTTTTACACTTACTATCCTATCCTCCAACATATAATACATTTCCAAATTTCTCAAAGATATGAAGTATACCACTTTGGAGAAAAGTAAAGAAACTCCATTCATACTAAATAAGCTTGCAAATGTTCTATTCTATACCAATTTTCAAGAACATCAAATTCCGATTCCATAACAATAAAGCTACTCTGAATATAAAGAACTTAATCTCCAACCAATCTCTCAAATAAAAAATGTGCATGTATATACGCAGAACATTACACGAACAGAAAAACACTAAATTGTATATTCACCATCATAGTTGAGTATAAAAGAGAGCAGCAATAGTTACAAACAGCATCATTACACTGATGAATATGAAAATGAAGCCACACCAAATCTAATGATTCTGAGATAAATTTACATGTGTTCTTATTGAGGCTGCATAAAACAAATTTATATTTTTTCTAAAATTTCATTTCTGTAGGTTATCATGATGCAAACATACCTATACCCAATAGATCTAATGTCTGTTCAGTGGCTAAGAAATCAGGACCTCACATAGCATCACTTTACTACTATATATTCTCTAACAAGAACCAAAACTGTCAGTGGGGAACCTCAGAACAAACAAAGAAAAAGCATCTCATAAATGATGTTGCTACTGGGCCATTGGTGAGTTTTTAATCATCTGTGGCTAGAAACACAGTCTCAAAATAACTTACATAACCATTTATAATTATTCTTGCATTTTAAAAAAAGAGAATCCAAACCTAACTCTTTTCATTAATAATTTAAGAAATATCCAGCAGAATGGTTCTACTTTGTGGGTTCTTGTTGATTAGTGCTTTTATTTTTCTTTAATTCTATAAAATTCAGAAACACTATCACTTTTATCTTTTCCAAGCTTTCATGCACTAAACTCATCTTGCTTGGCTCCATCATTCTGATCTTCCTTCACATTACTGAGTCAAGGGTATCCAATTTGAACTCTACCATGCATATTCTTAGACATGCAAGTGCAAAATCGCAACACCTGATTTCTTCTTATTCCCAACACCCCATATCAAACTAGTTCCTAATGCTCCATCACTTCCATTTCCCATGTTATTCGTGCATCATTCTCTTCACCTCACTCCTAATAACAACCTATTTCAGGCCTTTAGTTCTCACCTGAGTTATTTCAACAATTTGCTAATTAACTTCCCTGACTCTAGTCTATCCTTTCAAATTAATTCTGCTGGGCTAATGTTACATAAACAGCCTACAGCTGAAAGGAAACTCACACATAATCACTGGAATAAGCAAACAAATAAAAAATAAACAAAGAAACCTACTTCTTGTCTTCTTAAGGATGAAGTCCAAACTGGTTGTTTGGTTTAAGTTTCCATGATTAGGCTCCAAACTATCCATATATTTGCAACTACTATTTCACGAGCAAATAAAATACACACATTTATTTTCCACCTGAAAGCATGTACTACTTTTCCCTTCTTTTCAAAACACCTTTCCTACATTTCTACATTTTGAAAGCTGTTCAAATATTGTTACCTCATGTTGTACATAACCGGAAATTATTTTTGCTTCTTTTGAACTGTTGTTGCACTTTCTTATCAGTTGTTTAAACCCTGACCCCCACCTCCAGAAAAAAACAAATGAAATCTTACCCAGAAGCAGTCCAACAGATAAGACAGACAAAGGCAACATTGCTCTGGTTTAACTGGGGATGAGGTGGAAAGGGCTTGGAGTCCCACCCAGGATAAGCAACTCCAAAATACTAAAGAGCTCCAGCTGGGTGTGAAAACCACTGATCCATATCTCCTTTAACACGCTGAGATAAGTTCAAAGACAAATATCTACAGAGGAGTCCAATTTGCCTCACTGCAGCCTCTTGCTAACAGTGGCCTTGGGTAAGTTATTTAATTATGCTGATCCCCAGGTATAAAATCTATACCTCATAGTTATGAAGATTAAATGAGATCGTGTATCTAAAACAGTAGTGATAAATAGTGGCTAATATCATACTCTCTGCACCCCTCAGTACCAGATTTACAGGTAACACTCAACAAGTATACATTAAATGAACAAATCATTTATGACGTGCTAATCACTGCAAGGGAACTTGAGGAGTAAGAGAGGCAAGAGACATGATCAGAATAAAGACAATATCATTTCT